CTCTAATGTTCTTTTAAATTATTATTTTCTTATTCACTTTAATGATTTAATCAATCTTCCATTCTTATATCTGGTAATCTGAGCAACTTTGCTGAAGATAACAATATGTAATATAACAATCACTGTTAATCACTATCATTTGATTTGAAACCCTGTACCATTTTTAATGTCCTTGCTTTGTTTTGTTTGTATTTTGCTATTGTTCTTTTTTTGTACTATTTTCTTTAAAATAAAAATTAAAAAATATAAATATAAATATATTCCAAAATTATGAAAAAAATAGATTTTATTGTTCTCATCACACAAAAATATTCAGTGACATACATCTTAATTACCTTCACTGAGTCATTCTATAACATATGCACAGATCATAACATCACACTATACTCCATATATATACAAAATTACTGTCAATTAAAAATAAATTCTTGCCAGGTATGGTGGCTGTAATCCCAGCACTCGAGAGGCTGAGGCAGGAGGATCACTGCAAGTTCAAGACCAGCCTGGGATACAAAGTGAGTTCAAGGCCAGCCTAAACTGCATAGTGAGACCCTGTCTCAAAAAGACAAAAATAAATAAATAAATAAATAAATAAATAAAAATAAATTCTTAAAAAATTAAAAGAAAAACCAAGGCTTGAGTCCTAAACATCAAGACCAAAAGCTTAAAATCCATAAATTGTATTTCAATAAATTTGCCACAAGTGATCAGAAACTGAAGCTAGGTGTTCCACGAGCCAACAGAAGTAATACAATCTTCCAATGTCTTGATGTCCAAAACATTACAGTATTCTTCCCACAGAGATAAAGCTATCTAATAATGAGCCAGGCATGGTAGTGCTTGCCTGTAATCTAAGCACTCAAGGATGAGGCAGGAGGATCCCTGTGAATTCGAGGTCAGCCTGGGCTACATAGTGAGTTCAAGGCCAGCCTACACTAGATCAAGACACTCATTCTCAACAATAAGTAAATAAATAAATAAATAAATTTTTAAAGAGCGATCTAATAATGCCAACTACATGATACTTATTCTGTAACCTATGAAAGGTATATACAGTTGTTCTCTCAATATTAATTTGACTAGTGCAAAGAAAAGTTACCCTTATATCAAGTAAACTTGTTAACATTCACCTTCGAGAACTCCTCAATTCGTTCACTGACATTAGGTAGCATCCATGTATCCTCACCTCGAAGTCGTTTAAGTTCTTTCCGCCTTTCTTCTTTTTCAAAATTGGCTTTGGCCTACAACAAAAAAGACAAACTGACAATGGATTCAACTGCTTTTCACCAAAAAAAAAAAAAAAAAAAAAGGTATCACCTTCACATAAAGGCACTTTACTTATGAATGGTCTGTTCCTGTGACTTAAAAACACAAAACAGAATCTTTCCTTCCAAAATACCAATCTTCGATTAAAGGAACCACCAGTCAGAGACAGAGAGCTTGTACTTATTCTCTAGACCCTACCCTCTCCTCAAAAGACTTGGAATCCACTATATCCCCGGCCCTCCTTTTCAAACTAATTCCAGGGGCTACTGAATTAAACTTTTGCAATATTTAGAAGACTGATCTCCATGCCTTTAACACACAGTGTTCATACCCTAGTACCCAGCGCCCTAAAATGCCTCATGAAAAATCAACTTTCCAAAAAGAAATGACCGGCCAGGCTAGCTGGCACACACGTGTAAACCCAGCCTGGGCTACAAAGTGAGCTCAAGGCCAGCATGAACTGCATAGCGACATCTTGCCTCAAAGGAAAAAAAAGAAAATGACTATACTGTCAACTGCTGTTCATCTTTCAACAATGGTCAAATGAAGGTAGCTTTTCTCAGGAAGCTGTCCCTGCCCTCTCATTCTTCCTCTCAACTCTAAAGCCAGTTTTGGTCCTTCTCAAATGATATATCTCTCTACTACATAATATAACACAGCTTAAAAACTCTACTATCTCAAAAATCTGCCTTGAAATACAAAAGAAACAAGAATGAAAAGTATTATACTGAGATCAGGGGACAAGGTCAATCTTTCACCTGTCCCAGATTAATCACCTACTCTTCCCCTTTCAAATCCAGCTGTAATCATCTTTTCTCTTAGCTGCCTCCTCCACCTCTTCTCTACTGACTCCTTCGCGTCTGCATTCAAACTCGCTTAGAACTCTCTCACTGTAGCTAGGCGGGGTGACGCTCACCTGTAGTCCCAGCACTCAGGAGGCTGAGACAGGAGTGTTGCAGAGTTCAAGGCCAGCCTGGGCTACACAATAAGTTCAAGCCCAGCCTGAACTGCATAGTGAGACCCTGTCTCAAAAAACAAAACAAACAAAAATCTCTCATCTTAACAAACAAAAGCCATTTCCATACCCTACGTTCCTCTCCAACAACTGTACCCTTTCATTGTCACATTTTTTACATCTTGAGTAGCTTTTCAGATAATTCAACGGCTTGCTCTCTCCTCCTCAATTTCACTTTTAATGAGACATACAATGTTTCTCAACCTTTTTTGAGAGGCTAAGTTCCCAAGTCTCTCGGGTTAACCCTTATTTGGATCACCGAAGGCTGACAACAAGTCTAGAATTGCAAACAGTAAGAACAGCGAAGGAGATATCAAACACTGTCCACTGAAGTGCGCCTTTACTTGTGTCCCCGAAAAAGATCAACTTCACTTCAGATACAGTAGGAGCGATAGCTGGAGCTAAAAAATGAGTCAGAGGTGGCAGAGTACTGAGAGTGTAGGCGGTCCGAGGGGTGGAGAGGTCAAGGGATGACTTGCCAGGTAATGAGACTTACAGGAAAAACAAAACACATCTCTCTGAAAAGAGAATGAACACTTGTAACCTGCATTTAGGAGACAGGAAATACACAGGAAGACAGCACTGGGCTCCGTCAAGGGGAGACGCTGCAGCGTTAGAGATCTACAGGGTGGGCGTGCCCCCGTACTAGCCACTCCCACAACTCTAAACTAAACTGCAGCTTCCCCACAAGGAAGGTACCTGACGCAACACCTCCGCCCTGGCAATTCGGGTCTGCTCCTTACGCTCTTCGATACTCTTCGCACTTTCAAATCTGCCACTGGAAGCCGCCATAGTTGTTGCCGTCGTAAAGCTCGGAAGCCGTCAGTAAATCCCAGTTTACAGCTGTCGTAATTCAGGACCAAACCCGGACTTCCGCTTAGGGAGGGAACCAGAGGGGTGTGGCCGGGCTGAGGGTGCGCAGGTGTGGGAGATGCTCAAGCTTCGGGTGGTGACGCTAGCGCCCAGCTTTAGAGGAATTTTGAAAACCAGTGTCATTCTTGGTCGTTGTGGTTAATTGTGTTCCCTGCGAGCAGAGTTGGTATCAGTGTAGGATTTTTTCACGCGCCTTGCACTCAGCGAACTACTTTCACTAATGTGTTTTTGTCTATGTTGTTATTTTGTTATTGGTTTTTTTTTTTTTTAATTCTCTTTAAAATTAAAAATAAAAAAATCAGCAGAGCAGGCTGGGCGCACGCCTGTAATCCCAGCACTCTGGGATGCTGAGGCAGAAGAGTTGATTGGAAGTTGGAATTCAGCCTGGGCAATTTAGGAATTTAGCGAGATTCTATCTCAAAATAAAAAAATAAAAGGGCTGGATTTGTAGCTCAGGGCGAAGGCCCTGCCTTCAATCCTATCATCAACAAAAAGGAAGAAGCGGGGAGTGCACATTGAAAAATTAAAGGTTCCAAGTCTTTAACTCACAGTTTTCCACCGAAGTATTGGTTCTCGCCAGACCTTTGCCTGGTTATGCTGTAGGCATGACCTGAAGCGAGCCTGACCAAAAAGTCGATGAAAACCAGCAGAAAGGGCAAAACTGTTTGGAAGATTCAGTGTTTTGCACTGATAGATTTTTTTTTTTTAAAGTATGAAACAGCCATGGGAATTTTGGAATGTGCTTCGTAATTTACCGTGCTTATTTACACTGTGAATTTACATTATTTTTTCTCTGACCGCATGTTACTTACTCTTTATCCATCCAAGCATTCTTTCTTAAAATGAGCAAGCACCTATTTGAATGGGGATCGTTTTGGTTTGGTTTTATCATTGTACCTCCCAAACAAAACTAAGTTCCAGGAAGAATAAAACATTCTAAAGTGTCTTATTATTTTAAGAATATAAGAAACTAAGCTTAGATTTACAATCATAAAAGATAAAGCTGGAGAGAGTAATTATAAACTAGATACCATAAAAATATAGAAATAGTTATCAACCAGATGCAAATATTCTTTTCGGATTTCATAAAATTAAATGTGTGTGTATGTACACGTTTTCCTAGGGATTTCTACTTTAACTTTCACTCTTTGAAAGTCTTAAGCATATAATGTTTACGTGTATGGTACTTAATAGAATGTATTCATTTGTTATAAAAATTGAATTTTAATTTACTAATTCATCTTATAATATTTAACTGATTTTGTCATAGCATTAAAATCTTCTCACATTCAGGATTCAGGGAAACATGTACTACCCGCTTTACATCACTGGCAGGGCAGATAATGATTATAACAGAAACGGGTATTTCAGTCCATTCTGGCCACTGTAACAAAAATATAAACTGAATGAATTAGAAACAACAAATATCTATTTCCCACAGTTCTGCAAGCTGGGAAGTCCCAGATTCCAGTGCCAGCAGATTTGATGTTTGATGAGGCCTTACCCTGTTTTATAGCTGGCTGTCTTTTTGCCATGTCTCATATTTAGAAAGGGTAAGAGATCTCTTTGAGAGCTCTTTTACAAGGACACTAATGTCATTCATGATGATATGGCCCCTCATGACCTAATCACTTCCTAAAGGCCCTACTTCCAATACCCTCACATTGTAGATAAGGTTTCAATTTAAGAATTTTGGTGAAACACACTCATTCAGTCTATAACAGTGTGCAAAGCTGTATGAAGAAAACTACAATCTTCAGCTTCAAAAGAAGACTAGAACAGATGAGGAGGTGTATGATGTGCCTAAACAAAATGACTCAGCATCATAAAAGATCAGTTTTCCATAAATTAATTTTTTGCATTTATTTTATTTGTATATTTTACATATACATGATGATAAAATTCATCATAGGGAATTTGCGCCTGTACGTGATATATCTTGCTGCTTCTTTTTTTCCCACTCCCCTCCCCTCCCTTCAACCGCTCTTTATTTACAAAAGCTTTGTTTCCATCTTTCCTTCTTTCTTTTCTCCTTCCTTCTTTTCTTTCCCCCTTCCTCATAAATTAATTTTTAATTTAATGCAACATAAAATTGCCAATGAAAAGATGTTGGAGTCAAAGAGGAGAGCTACACACGTTGAAAGAAGAAACAAAGGGAACAACAAGTGGTTTGAGCAATGTTTACATTTTACTACACCTAATAGAAATCCAATTACTTATTTTAAAAAATAAGGGATAATGTAATAAGGAGCCTACAGTCGGCTGGTCCAGTTTGGTGCAGTACTGAAGAAACCAGATTGTTTCACTTTCTGCTTTGTCACCGTCATTACTTTAGGCTTCGTAGTCAAAGCAGAACAGCACATTCCTCCACACCTGTGCAGGACATGTATTAAACACAAGTACAAAGAGAGCAAACAAAGGGTAAAAGGTGCATGCTAGGGAAGCCAACCCCATTTTTTATTTGGAAAACAATGGCTTTTCAAAAAATCTAGTCTATGTTCTTCCATTTAAATCTTAGGAGTCGGGAGTAGGTCACATGGTCACAACTAACGACAAAGAGTCATGGAGACTGCAGGATGGTTCCTTTATTCCATGTCACTCAACTTGGGTTTGACTGAGACTTGTTTGTGATTAGTCAAAATAGGCAACTTCAGCAGGACTCACATAAGGAAAGCCACCTTCCCACTGCATGTTATTGGAACCACATCATTTCCCTGTGTCCCATCACTGGAGCTATTCACTGATCATTTACATGAAGTCTGTCAAGCTCCTGCATTGTAAAGTTACTTGTAAGTATTCTTTTAATACTTTTAAATTCTTTGAAACTAAATTCTATATCAAATGTTGTAATGAACCATTTATTTTTATATCATATAGGCTCAGTATATCTCAGTGGATTCCTCCTTTACTCGGTGGTATTAGTAGTTTATTGGTACTATTTTGATTCTCAAATTGTCCCAGGTTTGGCTGGTGAGAAAGATAGCCCCTGGAAAGTGAGATTTCTTTGTCTTGTAGAACAGGTACCCATATTCTTGTAGTATCTCTTTGCTTTCTATTACAAGAAGGTTATTCATGTTTATCTTGTCCTTTCTCTGCCAAAGCCTAGAATCTGCCCTTTCTTTCTAAGGATCCCTGGTTTACTTTAGTTTAAAATGGCATTTAAAAGATGTCAAGTAAAAAATATCAAGATTTAGGTAAAGAAAAAATTTATTTAAAAACACTATTGCAATATATAGAAAGAAGTTAACTATAATAGAGAGACCATTCTCAAACTAGGAATAAGAAAGTTCTCAAAGGTCAGAAAGAGACAGCTTTTCTTTTACTGGGAGGGTTAAACAAGGCCAGGAAAACCAGGTTTGGAGGATTCAGTAAGCAGGCATTCTAACAGTTTTCTAGAAAATGGTAACAAACGTCAATTCCTGGCCAGGCATGGTGGTGCTCGCCTGTAATCCCAGCGCTCAGGAGGCTGAGGCAGGAGGATCGTTGTGAGTTAGAGGCCATCCTGGGCTACAAAGTGAGCTCAAGGCCAGCCTGAACTGCATAGCGAGGCCCTGTCTCAAATAGACAAAACAAAACAAAAAGTCAATTGCTGGAACATGACATGGTAGAGAGATTTCTTGATGGTTATTGTTTTCTAGGAGCCTAGGTCCTCTAATTGGGCAGAACTAGGGAGACAACTATAGGTATAGTTAGTGATAGAGATACAGATAACTCTGTATCTACTTATCTGTATTAAAAACCATACATTTACACAAATATCTCTCATTTGAACACCACAGGATTCATTTTTGTTGTTTTTCATTTTTGCAAATTCATTCTCCAAAAGGAATAAACTTCATTTCTATGTTTAATATATTAATTTTCATACGTAATTAATTTGATCAGTTATCCAATACGTAACCAACTTCCTGTAGCCACCCTAAACGTGTATGTGCTGCCAGAGTGAGCACAGAAACGATAAATGTTTCAGGGGATGGAAATGCTAATTATCCCAATTTGATCCTTACACATTGTGTACCTGGAGCAAATTATCACACGGTATCCCATAAATATGTACAATTGCATGTGTCAGCCAAAACAATTTTAAAAGCCTCTGTGTTCTCCTTCACGGTGGTCTGCCCTCACCCTGCAGAACATACCTCTTTTCCTACTTTTAATTGGCTCAAACTCGCTCTGCAAAGCACATTTCTTTTCCTACCATAAGTAAATGTGGAACCTCACTGCCTTTTGCTCTTGTCTTGACCAAATCTTTGTTCGGGACAGAATTAACACAGAAAAAACCTTTTTTCAAAAGGAAAGAAATTTAATTTACCTACTTACAGTTTAAAAATACCCATTTCCAAATTTCTTTTATTTGGAACTTACGTGAAGTCTTGCAAGAAATAAAAAGTGATCTATACACTTCAAAAACAGGTTTCACAAATTGATGGGCCTAACTAGGCAAAAAAACTTATTTGAAAATGCTTATCTGTAAATAAGGCCACATTTTGTAGAGGTTAAATTCTATCAGTCAATGTGTAAGACAAACATCAATCACAGTCAAGATCATCCTTGAAAATCTACCAGATTGCCCTTACAATAAAGACATACAGGCTGAAGAATACCACCACGTATAGTAACATACATGAGTTAACAGGTAATTATTACAGTAACATGCAACTGGACCGGTAGTCTGCATGTCTTTAAAGCTGAAACATAGCTTGTGTGCAGGATGACATATGTTCCAATTCACATGGAACAATTTAATTTATATCTGTTGACCTGATGGTTATGAAGAACAAGCACCCTTACAATTTTGAAAGTGTCCCAGATTGGATGATAAATTACATGGCCACTCCTAACATTAGGTCAACCTTAATCCTTTTTCAACATAAAGTTTCCCATTTTACTTGAAGGTGAAGTTCAAGGAAAGGCCAACAGGCTTTTCTATCCATGAATGTGT